ATGTCTCGCAAAGGCGGCAGGCCCGTCGGAATCTCTTCCGGGAAAACGTCAGAAAACTCGGACAATAAATGGCGAATAGCAACCGGCGGCTCACTGTCATCAACGGCCTCGGTTCCGAACAAAAGTAATACAAGTGGTGCTGCACGCATTTCCGCTTCAAAGGCCGGTCGAGAAAGAAAAAGAACTGGTGAAGGCGTAGCTGCGGGCAACGGCCGAGGGGGTCCCGGATGTAACACCACCTTCACGCCTCCAAAAAGAAAGCTATACGTGTTGTGTCGGCCGTCGTGAGTAGCTGCCCTGTCAAATTGCCAAGGACGGCCCAAAAGAAGATGACACGCATCCATGGGCACCACATCACACCACGTCTGGTCCCTGTACCTCTGTCCGATAGAAAAACCAACCAACACCCGACGATCCACTGTCACCGCGGAGCCCTTTTGGATCCAAGCAAGCGTGTATGGCTGAGGATGAGGCACGACCGCGAGTCCCAGCTTGTCCACTGCCTCCTGAGCAATAACGTTTTCACACGAACCGGAATCGATAATAAAGTGGCACACTCGATCACCAATGGTGCAAGAAGACTCAAAAATATGGTTGCGCTCCACCGGGTCAGTAACGGAAGCTCGTGGTGTGAAGCAAGAACGACGAAGAATAAGGGCCCTCCCAACGTCGCCCGTAAGATGTTCCTCAATAACCTCCGGTTCATCGTCAAAGACGGGCGGTCCGTCATAGTCCCCAGCCGGCATGAACGCGTCGACATCATCAGAGAACAAGTTACGCGAGCCCGAACCCCGAGGACAAGCATGCTGCCGGTGACCAACCTCGCCGCAGCCAAAGCAGCGCGGCCCGGAACCTGACCGCTGGCCACCCGAATTCCCAGCAGAGACCGCCGCACCCCCCTGGCCCGTACCCGCAGCCCTGTTCGTCACATGACCCATGGCTGAAGAACCGCCAGTTTGACCCGCGCCATAGGAACGCCCCGCGCCGGAAGCCGCGAGACCAGCCCCACCCCGCGAGCCGGGCAAAAAACTCGACGAAGCCTGTCGGGCCTGCTGCTGTTCAACCATGAGTGCCCGTTGATGCGCATCGGAGACCGTGTCTGGGACAAAGAGGTTCAGCATGTCTTGAATCGAAACCCGCATCCCTCCAATGTAACGCGAGACTAATTGGTCCTCCGTTTCTCGAACATCTATGCGAGTGAGGAGTCGATAAAACTCCTCGGTATAATCATCCACCGAACGCGCCCCTTGTCGTAGTAATTGGAATTTTTGATAGATCGTGCGACGATAATTGAACGGTAAAAACTCCAATTCCAGATGTTTACGAAACTTAGCCCAAGAAGTAATCTTGGACTTGCCCATACGATGCCGCTTTCCCTTGAGCTGCAAGTACCAGGCCGCCGCGCGACCACGAAGCCTGGTTGCAATGAATTCCACCCGTCTATCATCCGGGACATGTTTGAAGTCG